CTAATTAGCGATTTTCTTATCAGGTATCATTATTAATTTATTGTAGGTACAGATGAGAATAAAACCACTTAAAACAAAATGATTTATTTACAGAGTAACTAATATCATTAATAATAAAAAAATAAACATAAAGAACATAAAACACAACTTATATTAAATTAAATTTTGTGGTACTTTTTACAGGATGACCCATTTTTGCGTGTTTTACAGGGTTTCTCGTTTATGAGCAGAAGTACGAAGACGCGGTTTTCACATTACTATGCTACTTTTTTATGAAACTAAAAATGGTACACTCATATTTTTTGTCCTCGCACTCTTAGTTCCTGAAATATAGGGCGAAATTGAAATCGTTGCATTTTTCGACTCTCCTCATATCTCGGACATTATAACTTATCGAAAAGGTGAAAATCGAGCTCCATAGAGATTTCCAAGTAAAATTCAGTGGCGCAACTAAAACCAAGACACGAAGAGGGTCGAAAAATACAACATTTTAAAATTCGCCTTGTATTTCAGGAACTAAGAAGACCAGGTGTGTGAAAACGAAATGCTGTTGTTAAAATTTATCATAAAAATATATAAAAATCTGACGTAAGCCTTTTATAAAACTTTAAGGCTAAAATTTTTTTGATGACTTAAGTCTTTTATAAAAAGACTTAAATCAGTTTCTATTTCGGAATAAAGGTTTAAATCACAAATCTTGAAAAAAAAGACTTAAAATAAAGACTTAAATCCGATTTTAAAAATGATGAATAGCTTTTGAAAAATGACTTAAAATCAAATGACTTCAGTCATTAAAATGATTTAAATAAAAAAAGACTTAAGTTTTCTGTGAGCTTGCAGCTCTGCTTCATAATATGCCGATTCGAGAAAAACCGTAAATTGAAGATTTTTATTTTGTTATTTGACGAGGTATCTCAAAATTAGAAGCACATTTTCATTGCCAATTTTTTCCAACTACACAACAGTGTTATCAGATTTGTCATCCGATGTTTCGTCTTTTGACCACCATCATCAACTTTATGTTTTCTTATAGGCACCTTATTCGATTTTTACACGCCTAATTAATTCATTGCGATTGTAACGGTGTACAACAAGTTATGCATAGTGGCTTTTAAACGCCAATAATTTTTAATAATTTGGAAAAATTAGGTGAACATTTAGTAAAGGTTTGCGCTTCTTAAAAACCAACGGAGATACATGGAAACTCGAATAGATAGGTATAATAGTAGATAATCCCTTAATTTAAGCTAAAATAAGTAAGTGTTCAAACTGGTGGTTCTTTTTCCTGAATACATAATCGTGTCGGTTGATTTAAATTATTGATATTCTAGTTATATCCCTTTATCTAATAACTCGAAACAGCGTTATAATATTTCTAACATCTAACACTATTTGATAATCTTGCTGCCAATGCACTTTATTTTCCAAGGTGCTCCACAAAAATTTGTCCAAAACGGTAAGGTCAGGAGATCAGGCTTACCATTTGACAGGTCTTTTATTTCCCAATAAGCTATGTTGGAATTTTTGGTTTAATAAGGCAGTAACTGCTCCACTGTTATGTGGAGGAGCCTCGTCGTGTTGGAATTGGTACATATTAAACATGGATTGGGGATTAACATACAAATTCATTGGGAAGAAGTAGTTCACAATAGAACTCAATGGAGAAGAATTGTAAACTCAGTTAACAGCGACAACCAAAAAGTAAAGAGGCAACAAAGCAATGAAATTTTTGAATGTCCGGAGTGCGGTAGGCAAATAACATCACGTATCGGGCTTTTCAGTCACAGAAAAGCTCATAAAAGAAAACACCTTGTAGAATGTAGAATGTTTAGGAGGGGAGTTAATCACCGCGACCTTATAGATCTATTGTGTGTTCCCCTTTCTTGAGTTATAACGAGTTATAACTCATCATACAGTCTCAGGGCTTTAAGAAAAGCCAGTATCTGAGAAGGCTCCACAGAGGCCAGCTCTCTATCCTCGACATCAGACGTACCAAGGTTCATGGCACGAATGGTCGTCGTCTCGGCGCACTCAGTGATAAGGTGTTCTGGTGTTTCCCCATTTTCCCCACAAAATCTGCATTCGCCGTTGTTTCTCAGTTTCAGCCTACTGAGGTGTTCGTTGAGGAGACAGTGTCCTGTTAGAAACCCCGTGACAATCCGAAGATTGTTTTTACTTAAATCAAGGAAAACCTTTGATTTTTCTCGGTCATAAGTTCTAAGGAACTTTTTCGAGTGTCTTAGACCGTTGGAGGACACCCATTCCAAGTTACGGATGGAGTCTTCCAGATTCTTCAGTTCCGCTTTCAGTTGGTTCCCGTTTGGAAAACAGAACGGTTCTGGTCCAGTTAGTGGAGTGTTCGCTCCTTTTCTAGATAGATCATTTGCTTTTTCATTGCCTTCTATTCCTTGGTGAGCAGGCACCCAGAGTAGGAGGACTTTATTTTCTTTGCCTAATTTGTTGTGCTTCTCAAGGCATTCTTTAACCAACTTCGAATTGATGGTTACTGAGTTGATCGCGTGACTATCGGATAGGATGGCAATTTCCTGTTTTCGATAGTTCCTATCTAAGATAAATTGTACGCATCTTTCGATAGCGCAAATTTCTGCCTGAAGGATACTGGGGTAGGTGCCCATTGGTTCGGAATATTCAGTTTTCGGCCCAAATACTCCTATCCCTGTCCCTGCTTTGGTTTTGGAAGCATCCGTATACCAGGGCCATGTAAGTGAAATATTAAAAATGGTTCCAGCAAAAGTTTCCCAATTATGACGGATGATGGCGCTGATCGTCAAAATATTTGGACAGGGATTTTGCTTACCGACAATACGACGTGAGCTACGACCGGACCAGGACCAATCAGAATGATCAGTCTTTCTTGGACATTTGCCGCGGAAGTGTGTGTTAATTTCTGTTGTGATAAGTGTGGTTGTGTTTGCAGTTTGATTTTTCGGTTTTGATATTATGTTAAAATTAATTTTGAAGTATTGTATCACTTGTTTTTATGTAATAGTACTTTTTTTAGTTCTATGATCTGATATATTATGATTTGTTAATGTTTGTTTAACAATGTTATACCAAAGAGGTTATACTTAATATACTTATCAATTTGCATAGCCTAACTTTTTTATCAATAAACTTTGTAGATTTTCAGATTATTTAATTCCTTTTGTTTCCGTTTGTAATTTTATTTTTAAGACATATTATGTGATTGTTTCACATAATATGTTTTAAAAATAAAATTGCAAATGGCGAATAAAAATAATTAAAATAAAAAAGTGTATTATACAATTCCCCCCGGCCCCGCACCCCTTTGGCTAACCTATAATGTCAGCTATATCGAGAGATGGCGTTACGAAAATGGAACCGAATTTATTACAAGGAACTTGGGCTTCTTTTTCGTTAGTATATTCTGTGCCGTATACCACATGATGGTATGGTAACAATAGAACTCAATGGAGAAGAATTGTAAACTCAGTTAACAGCGACAACCAAAAAGTAAAGAGGCAACAAAGCAATGAAATTGTTGAATGCGGTAGGCAAATAACATCACGTATCGGGCTTTTCAGTCACAGAAAAGCTCATGAAAGAAAACCCCTTGCGTGACCATCTTTTGATGCGTGTCGAATACTCGTCAGCGAGTAATGGCAGTATGTATGTATGTATGTACATATTAAAATGTGCCAGAGGTAAATCGTCAAAGTATTCTCAATATTAGGTTCTCAAAAACAGCAGATGTGTTTTGCTCCAGTTAAATGTTTATTGAGGAAATGAGGTCCTAATAATAATCAATCACCGTTAATGCTAGCCCACACATCGAGAAACGAACTTGAGGTTTAACTTCCCTAAAGTGCCTGGGATTATATGCGCTTCAAATAGTTCTATTATTACTATTGGACATGCCACAGTTTGTAAAAGTACTTTCATTACTATTATTAAATATAGTAAACAATATAGTAAACAAGCGGGAAACTTAGTAGTCTTATTTGCGAGCCAATTGAAATATTCGAGGCTTCTCACGGAGAATCTTCCTTCCTGTCTGCGGAGTATTAACCTTGTTTTTGCTTTATTTTTGTCAAATGTGTAATAAAGTTCTCACATGTCGCGCATTTCTTTCAAACATCCAAAGCCGCTTATTGATAAAATGTTTTTTACAAATTATTGACGTTTGAAAGCGTTATAGCCTTTAAAATTGTCAAAATTGCAATGAATTTATCTATTCAGATGTATAAAAATCTAATATGACACCTATGAGAAAACATAAAGTTGATGATACCTCAGGAAAAAATTAAATCAGAAGACGAAATATCGGATGACAGATGGAAAAACATGGCAATGAAAATGTGGTTTTAATTTTGGGTTATCTTGTCAAATAACCTCAGGAAAAAATTAAATCGAAATCTTTAATTTTCGGTTTTACTGGAATATCACCAGAACTACTCGGAATTTTAATTGTTTCTAAACGGCATATTATTCCGCATATTAATGCAAAATTTTATCCTAATGTAATCATCTTCGCATCTCCTATAGTTTCCTAGATTCCAATGGTGGGGGTCGAATTTCAATTACTCTGAATACGATCGTGTTTTGTCAATTTTAAATGTTTTATGTTATAGTTTAATGTTTTATTTATAATATACAGAATGTTCCATTTAAAATAATAAAGATGATATCGCTTATAAGTATGAAGGGAACACTGTAACGCTGAAAAAAAAACACATGAAACAGGCGCCTTTATGCAAAAATCCAATTTAAAAAAAATAATATCACTTGTTCTTCATAAACATTTAACTTACCATGGCCGTGAATCACCCTGTATATAGGTTACTTTTGTGGAAAACAAACACTGGGTGCTATAAGTGTCATTCTTTTACATTTACAAGAAGAATTTTTTGGCGAAATCTAATTCTGCATGTACGTTTCAATTGACTTTTTTAAGTAAATTATTCTAATTGTAATTAATATACACCAGCTAAGTAAATAATATCAATTACAATTTTTAGCAACATATGTAGATAAATGCCATCAAGACGATACAGATTTTACAAAATGTATGTTGAAAGCGATCCAAAATGTCAAGCCTCATCTCAAATCAGGCATTCCGGAGTTTAGATTGCCTAAAATGGACCCGCTGATCCTTCCAGAAGTTGGTTTGGATGCGGGTGCTGGATTCATAGCAAAATTTGAGGTATAGCAAAATAATTTCATCATTTTTTATATTAATTTTCTATAATAAATTTATTTTTAGAATGTAGAGATCTATGATGCAGATAAATTTACAATAAGAAAATTCGATATCGACCTGGACGAAGATAAGATCAAATTCGATATGTCCTTCCCTCACATTAGAATTAAAGCGCATTATTCTATTTTTGGAAAAGTGCTGTTCTTTAATTTGGATGGTTCAGGTCCTGCAGATGGAAATATAAGTAAGATCATCCTGATTGCTTGAGACAAAAACAGTTTTGCTCTTTGTGTATGCATCCAGCCTAAATTTGGAGAAACAAAAAAAAAAACGCAAACATTTTCAAAGTAAAACAACTCGCCTACTTTGGACTTTTACAATTTCTTTTATCGATATCTGCCAGCCCAGGAAATATTTGCACACAGACACTCGTCAGTAAATCATTATGATGACTGAGGAATCGCCGCAAAAAAATACTTAAACGACTTTTTATTTAGCGTTTCTTTTTAATTTCTATTCAGCCTTAAAAACGTCAACTTACATCAGAAGTAATACCGTATGATCAAAAAAAAAGCGTGCAATTGGCTTGGAAATGATGCTTGCTAATGGATCCATCACTTCTACTGACAAGAACATCCAGAAACGGCAGACAGTTTTTCTCTTTCTCAATCGTGAATCTGATCGAGTTCTTTCGTGAATTAAGATGATTAAGAACGGAATCCAACTGTTTATCGGTTCCGTTCCAGTTGCTTTATATAGAAAACCAACATCGTCGAACCATTCTGCAGTAACCTAAATAGGTATAGTTAAAACACTATGTCATAGAGCAATAAGTATATGCAGTGACCAAGAATCTCTGAATTCGGAACTAAATAATATTAAAACCGATTTGCTTCAGAATGGTTACTCTGCAAAATCCTTAGACAATATTATATCCATTTGCAGGTCCGTTTTATTGGTACGCCAGCCTGAGGAGGATGCTCTCTCTCTCTCTCTCTCTTGACGATTTCATATGTGAAAGGAACATCGGAGAAAATCAGGCGAATAGCTAGGCATTATAAAATTAAAACTGTTTTTAAGTCTGGGACTACTCGAAAGAAGTGTCCGCTCCCAACAAAAACAAAAGCTGATTCATCAAACCAAGAGAAAGAGTGCATCTCCCAGGTACCTTGCGAGTGTGGTGAGTCGTATATTGGAGAGCAAAATGTCCTCTAGATGTACTTGACGAACATAAAAAACATACGCAAAGAGGTGAAACAATGAAGTCGGGCATTACAGATCATGTGTGGTCCAAGCACCATAAGATAAAATGGTCGGAAGCACGGGTTGCCCACAAGGAACCCCATTGGAAAAAGCGCAAATTTAAAGAGGCCGTATTCATTTCAATAAACAATAAAACAATAAACATCTTTAGCAATCCAAGTATGGAAATTTCAACAAAATGGCAACCACTCTTAAAACGCTCCAATGCAGGTTTTCTTGGTGAAAAACCTGATGCTTTACTGAACCCACCAAATTCAAGGGCTCGGCTCTAGTATAAGTTCTGTATAAGCTCAGTAGTTTTAGGATTTACTTTAGTTCAAACTTGATAACGGTCAGTGATACTACTGACCGAAACGTTGTGAAAGGAAAATAAATTGAGACAACGGAATTTCGAAACTCTTTTAGTTTTAACTTAAAAATGATGGCATTTAGTTCTTTCCGTGGATAAAAAGTTATAAATTTATTTTTCTGCCTAAGGATTGGTTTGAACTAAATTGAGATAAAAAATAGCATTAATTCAGCAAATAAATTAACACAAAATCAAGACCCGGTTCGATATAAAGATAAAACACCTAATATTTAATTCATGTTTATAAATAGATACCCATGACTAGATCGTTGGAAATGGTTAAACGCAAGTATTTTTTAAAATTCATAGCCAACTATAATTTCCATTTGAAAAAAATATTCCTGACAAAAAGAGAAAGTATAGAAAGAAACTGACTACACCACTGGATTGTGTTTAAAAAAATGTCCGAAGAATATTTTTACAGAATTTTTAAAATGGTCTAAAATTCAAAAAGACCCCATATCTCAGTTGGCAGTGAAAATATCTTCAGGCGGTTTATCACTTTAAAGATGTTTTAAAAATCGAGTCTCGAAATGACATACCTATTGTTCTATCTAGTCAGGAAATAGGTTTTCTCTGTTAAAACAGACCAATTTCGACCACCCATTAACTAAGTTTTTGTGGTAAAAATGAGTTATCTAGCCTAGAGACATAATTTATAATTCAAATGTCTAATAATTTATATTAGAGTATAATTATGTGAAGTAACTATTGTAAAAGTTTAGAAATAAAAAGATTTGAAATAATATTTTCTTCTTTGCAGCAAATTGTCGTGTGATGGCAACCGTAAATGGCGAACGATACGTTAACCAAGACAAACAGTACCTGAAACTCACAGATATCGCCATCGAGGGAATGGATTTTGGAAAACCGAACTTCCAGTTTTACAATTTGTTTAAAAACAATCCCGAACTTACTGAGCAAACCAATCGCATATTAAATGATAACATGGAGGAACTACTTAATGACCTAAGACCAAATGTGGAACAGACCATCGGAAAAACCGTTTTGGAATTTATAGGAAGGGTATTTACGCGTTTCTCTATCGAAGAACTATTCCCTAAATAAAACGGTATCGCAAAGGGTATTTGCCCAGGGGTTAAATTAATAAATAAAGGCAATCTCGATAGCCTTTGACAATAGTTGAGCAATTATATTGTTTATATAGTAGTGCTTGTGGCATATTATTTATTTTTGTAAAGTACTTATTAGTATCTAAGAATATTATTGTTGTATTTTTTAATAAAGTGTAATTAGATAACGGTCTATACGATTTTTTTGTACAAGTGTAAAAAGTATACTCGATCACATTTTCTGAAGTTAACACTAAAACACAAAAGTGTTCTGTTTGCAGTTACATATTATGAAATTATCCATTTTGGAAATTGATAAATCTCTATACCTATCTAATACCTATACCGGGTAAAGTGGCTCACCCCTATAACTTTTTTATTTTTTCAGATGAAAAAACGAGATTTGGTATGTTAGTATATATGACATAAATTAGGATTGATTGACGTATTCAATTGTTTTTGGTCACTTCCTGTTTCACCGGAAAGAACTACAACATACCGATTTTTAAATAACACCCTCGGTATTTTTTTACTTTATTCGATAGAAAATGGCACTCTGAATAGAATGACATATCATATGTCAACTTTTGACATTTTCGCTTTAAAAAAAATCTTATTTTAAATTTCAATCTAAACATGGTTTTGTTAAAACACTATTTTTTATTCGATGTACTTAAACAGCCGTTAAACGGTAGCCTACTAAAATACCGTTAATAGATATTGTGACGTCGCACATAGGAGTATTTATGGCAAAAATGCGTGCAAAATTATTTTATTATTTTTTTCGGTCTAAAATACGTTTATTTAATTAAAAATATCATTCTAAAATACAACATTTTATATTTAAAAAAAATACTAATGAACTCCGTGCTATATACAGGGGGTTCCACTAACGTCTCCAAAAAAAAATGTGGATGGATCAAAGAAGAAAAAATTATAAATGTGATATAGTAGTTTACGGTTAAAGATAGAATACAGGTACGTACAAAAAGTAATAAACGAAGAAAAAGAAAAGTAATAACGAAACAATATGCGAAATGAAGTTTTTTGCAATATGGTATACTCTGAATAAAACAAAGGAAACTTAATTATTTCAAAGGAATTAGTTATAGTGTTGGCATAGTCTTGGCCTTCCATATATAGGTAACGTGTTGTCCACAAGTCAGCACACAAACTAACAATTCCAGAAAAAAAACTATCAAAAACATAACCTTCCAAAACAGAGAAAAATTGGCAGAATTCTGACTACCATACCAGGTGGAGTGTGACACGGTGAGATGTTTGGTATCTGTCATTTGTTAAACCTGTTTCTATGCTAAGAAAATAACACAAATCAAAACGTTCACGGCCTACTTGATATTATCGACTTTTGCGCGAATTTATGATATAAATATACTCCTATGTGCGTCGTTCATTTCGGCGGAAAGTAATGCCTAGCTATAAGCATTTTGCAAGTGCCGGTTGCTGAGGCTGTCGCTTCGTGAGCAAATGGTCCGAGGTTCAAATCTCACGCTGACCAAAACTTTTTTATATTTTTTTTTCTTTTTTGGTGGATTGGTTTAGTTATTTGGCGGGTTGGTTAGCGTGGTTATTTGGAGGGTGGTTATTCATTGGTTAGTTGGTTATTTGGTGAGGTTGGTTGGTTTTTACGAATTTATATTTGTTTTTTATATTTTTTTTATCAGTGCCGTTGTTAGTTGCGTTGGTTAAGTTGGTTATTTGGTGGGGTGGATAGCGTTGGTTAGTCCTTATAAAATTCCTATATTTCATAAAGCCGCCAAGTGCGTCACGTCAACGACGTCATACCTATTAACGGCATTTTAGTAAACTACCGTTTAACGGCAGTTTAAGTACAGCCTTTTTTATTCAAGGAGCCATGGAAAAATAGATTTGATCGTCTAATGTTTTTCCTGTCTTGTCCCTGCCCGGTTAAAAGATGCACAAATCCCATTTTTAATCATATCTCAATTTTTTCAAATGGAACGATTTTGACTCATTAGCATATTTGGAAAAAAGCATGTTTTACCAATAATTTTGGTATAAATATTTTTCAACTCCACCGACGACAAATTTTCCTTTCGTGAAATGGTCCCTCTAGTATTTAGTACATTTTTTGTCTCTTTTAAAAAAACGCCACATCGCATAATTTTGGTGAAAAAAAAATTTCGAGAATTTATTTTTCCAATGCAGACCTTTGAATAAGAAGACTAAGGAAGGAGCATATCAAAAATCTTAGGTACACCGCGATGGACCTCAAATATGGCCGACTTAAATTCCGGTTTATCAGTGTCGTTCTAATTTTATTTAAAAAATGTAAAACTATGATGTAGGGTAGACGTGGGGTAGACTCAATAATTTGTTGTTTTATTTTACGTTGTGAATAAATGTTGGTAGTTATTAAAATTGTTATAAAAATATATAATTCTAATAAAAATAGATAAGTTATAATAAGTATTTATTAACACAAACATCCGATACGCTACTGAAGCAGGTAAGTCAAATTAACGTATCTAAATTCTTTGACATCTAATCTTTGACAAGTAATAAATAAAAGCTAAAATGCAAGAAAAATATATAATTTAGTTAATTTAAGTGAATTTCATAAATGATAGGATTTACTACACGTATGTATATTATATAGTCACTTACTAGCGAAAAGTTGTTCCATTATTTCACTCAATTTTTGCCGAGATCTACCGCACGCTACACAACCAACTATTTTAGAGTATTTTTCGATAAATCGCGATAGTGTCACTGTTAATTTAAGTTCTGCCACAATTTCCATCTAGATTTACTACCTTTATACAACTATCAGTAGTAGAATAAATAATAAATAACAAAAAATAAGCTCCATAAAGACTGACAAATCCACAAAATTTCAAATCAAATTCAAATGTGTCAAATGAATCGTCAAACAGAACTGTCAAGGATCCCCACCCTAGAGAGCTTTTATGGTGCCTTTTCCGCCCACCATGCATGAATACATGGATAGCATATGCTCCTTCTTTAGTCTTCTTATTCAAAGATGCAGACCTACAAAATATACAGGGAATTCCAATACTCCGTCGATACATATTACAATACACACATATTTTTTGGATCAAAATAAGTTAATTGCACATAATTTACCTTTATACGAAAGTGTTTCGTTTGTCCATTAGAGGGCATCAATTAATAATACATATGTATGTATACCCTATTGTTGAATGTTAATTAATTTAAAAATCGTTAATTTTTGTAAGCTTTTTATGAAGCTTGTTGTCAAATAATATCACTTGTGATACTAACATAAAATTCTATATTTCCGCCAACTAGATTATTAGAGCAAAAGAGATTTTATGCGTCACCATAGCGTGATGCGACAAAAAAAATTGGAAGTGAGCTTTGGAAAAATTTTTTTTTCCTGAATAAGTATGCACGGTAGCGTTTTTTTTACATGATACAAAAAATATAGTAAATACTAGAGGGACCATTTTACGAAAAGAAAATCGGCAGTTGGTGGAGTTAGAAAATATTTATACTAAAATTTATGTAGGGGTAGGTGTAGTTTTCACCTTTCCCGTACTTTTTCTTGATTTTTGTAAAAGTCAAATATTTTAGCACTTAGAAAAACATAGACACTCAAAATCTCCTTTAAATAGGAATAACGGTTCTTAAAATATCTGATGAAAAAATGTGTTCATTTTTTTAAAGTTTGATGCCCTCTAGCGGACAAACGAAGCACTTTTGTATAGAGCTAAATTGTGTCCAATGAACTTATTTTGATTCCAAAAATACGTAGTAGTTCTATGCCCACGGAATATTGGGACACCCTCTATACCTATATACGAGTATATTTAATAATACCACAGACTAACCTAAATTAGTTTGTGATAATACCCATATTCATTTTTCTATATTCTATATATGATTCGTTTCTATTTATATTGATTGTTTGACGATGTTTTTTTTTAAATGTATGATGTACCTTGTTTTAATTTGTCGTTTTATATTTTTTATTTGTATCTTTTTTGTATTTCTCGGATTTTTTATACTGAGTTGTACACGAGTAAATAAATAAATCTAAACTTAAGATTCTAAAGGATTTAGTCTGGTAAACTTTTAATAATATATACGGTGTACTAGAAGAGTATAGAAAGGGTTAATCAAGAGTTTTAAAGTTTGTATAATATTCATAATATTTTATAGCATCATTTAATCTGTATTTTATTACGATAGTTTTTAAACTTTATAGGCAAATGTGATAATTCTCATTTTTTGTTTAATCCTCTCTGTTTTAAGTGTTTGCAAATCTCAAAATACTTAAAAATTTGACTCATATTTTTATTTCAAAAATTACTAAATTAAAAAATAATATTTTTGTTATTATACAGGATATAAATGATCATAAGGAATATTCAAAGCAATATGTTTAAGCAAAAGGTCTTCCATAATTCTTGTTATTGTTTCTTCTACCACTGGTTTCAGCTCGCTGAAAAGTTCGTTTATATTGTCGCTGATAGCTTTATTTGTAACTGCATCTGAAAGAAATATTATAATTTAGTACATTATGCACGTATAAATAATCACAATAATGTTATTATTAAGTACAGAGTGTACTATTTTCGTGTGTTTTATAGGGTTCGTCATTTATGAATAAAGGTACAAAGATGCGAACTTCACATGCTACACACAGATGTAGTGTTTTCTGAAATAAAAACCAAATTTAAAAATGTCGCACTTTTCCGACTCCCTTCGTATCTCTGTTATCTTATAACTTATCGATAGTATGAAATCTGAATTCCGTAGAGTTTTTTAGGTAAAATCCAGTGGCGTGACTAATTTTTTACTGGGAGCCCCCCTGTCTTCTATAGTGTTATCTTAATAAACTGCATTAAAAATAAACTTGTGCAGCTTTTAGTAACATGCTGTTAATCAGAGTTATTGATATTTCTGATGAACTTGTTCAATAATTCTAGAATAATTTTACACACAGAAACTAACGTGGAATAGCCATTAACCAAAAATCGACGCCGAATAATTTAAACTATCCGACTATGTTAAAAAGGTATATAACGCATTTTTACCTTGTTTATTTGAATAAATATAGACCATATTATATTTTTAGAAAGATAATAAGGCAAATAAAATAAAAAATAATATGAAGGGCACCCAATTTAAAAAAAAATAAGTTTGAGTCATACTTCAGGAATGGCAGTTCCCAGCGAAAATCTAGTTACGCCACTGAATTTTACATGAAAAACTCATGAGACACAGTTTTCATCTTTTTGGTAATATCGGAGATACAAAGGGGGTCAAAAAATGCAACATTTTCACATTCGTCCTATAGTTCAGGAACTAAAACCACCAGGGCAGAGACAGGGGAAAAGATTCATTGTAGAACATTCGCCAAAATTCGCGGTAGATTTGATAACAAGGACAGAAAGACAGTCAAGCTGTAGTAGGTCTACTAACAGGGCATTGTAGACTAAATAGGCATCTAAAACTGATGGGACTGACATACGAAGCTATGTGTACGCTCTACTAATCTGAAGAAGAAACGTCGGAACACATTTTATGTCGATGTGACAGCCTGGCAAATGTGTGGTTCTCGGCAGGGGCGGGAAAGTGAAATAGCAAAAGCGGTTCCACCGTTTCCACGGAAATCTCAAATAAAATAGTTTCAGCCCTAGCCACTAGGTGGTAGTGCAATTAATTTTTAGGTTAAGAAGTTGCTACTAGTTATTGCCAGATGGCGTTAAATCAGGATTTTTTTAGTTTCCATAGTTTCCAACGGCCATTGTCATATTATTGTCAAATTCTTAAAAAATATTGTCGTTGTCATAGCGCCAATCATAATATTATCAAATAAATTATTATCATAGATGATTATCAAAATGTTTTTCAAACTAAAATTTGTTATATGTGTTTTAATTAGACAATTCCTTTTGTTTGTGGCCCTAAAAATATAATGTAAGTCTTTTATTTTTGCCATCATTTAAGTACCTACTTATATTTACTCCATTTACAAAACTTTGGGCGTATTACGTTGGTCTTATTTTATTATAATAAACGATGTTTAAATATTTGACTTATAAATAAAAACTTTAAATAATAAATAATATTCACATGTTTGGCTATCACAACGATACTTGTTATTAGTATTGTTGAATTTGTGTAAAAAATAAGATTTAATAATCAAATTTAATTATTTTAGAGTAAAATTCAATAAATACGCTCATTTAAAAAGCCCGCGCTTCGATCGATTTAAAACAAGCCCTACTCAATAGATGGCGCCACTTATGTAGGACAATTTTTCAGTATGGCAGAGTCCATTCTTTTTCTAGCTAGGTATATTCTTTGGTTCTCGGTAATAGGCAATGATAGGCCATTTCCAGGGAGCTACATGGAGGGTTCAGTTTCTAAGTTGCTAAACTTTGTGAAAAGGATAGGACTGGAGAATTTAATCTAAGGATCAGAAGAAGACCACAATAGATCTGAGAAGGTAGCAGTGGATCATGCCGAAAGCCACCTCTAAGAATCTAATATAATCTAATCAGGAACTAAAAGGGCTAGGAAAAATCTTTGTATAATATCTTTAGTTTTATAAAAAAATTCCTCATTATCATTTTCAGCTTATTCAACCATTTCCAATTATGGTTTGGCCCCCCTCACATACTATCTTTGTAGTTGCATTTGCAATTTGCAATGTTGCATTGTCACAAGCATTGTTGTCTATTATTGGCTATGCGGGCTCAAGTTATCCTTACTATTTTCCTAATATCATGTTCCATCTCAGATTCAGTGTTCTTCTGGGTCTCTTAATTTCTTGTAGGTACCATGGTGTAATTTTTGTGGTCTATCTGCTGTCCGTTCTTGTTGCCAGGTATCCTGCCCATTTCTATTTCAGGGATTTGACTCTGTGGATGACATCTATTATCTGGGTCTTTTGTCGTATCCACTCCATTCTTTTACGGTCTCTCTTGGTTATTCCCAGCATACTTCATTCCATTGAGCGTTGTGCAACCTGCAGTACGTTTCCTTATGATGTCCGTTTTAAGTGTCCAAGTTTCGCATGCATAGGTCATATCGAAGATAACACACATTGGTCGAATGTTTTCTTCTATAGATAGAGTGACATTCTAAATTTGAATATGATTGAGTTTCTTCCATAAGCACTCCATACTAACTTAATTCTTCTGTTGATTTCTGGTAGTAGAGATCGCGAGCTGTGTATTATTTGTCCTTGTCATAATTCATTCTCTATTTTGTTTAAATCCATAGCACCTATAATAGCCATTTCTTGTCATAGCCTGAGCTATTCTTTGTAAGTTACAATATTTAAAAAAAATGTAAAGAAACCTCTTAGCTCAGCTAGTATTAACTCATGCAAGAAAACGCTTAGTAACTGAACTTACTTAACTCAGGATTTCCGTCAAACAAACCATCTAAATGTGCCATAGGACCGCTAACTTCCATAGTACTGTTTGTAAAATGAGGAATTATATGGTTTTCTCCATTTATTTTTCCTTCGTGGCATTTTTGGTACATCTTAACTTCGCACGAATCTGGAAAGAAATATTAGTTAGATCATATCATTGAATTATGCTTTGGTTTGGCGAAATATTTTAACATAATACAATGATATGAGAAAGTGTTAATCTCATTAATACTTTTATAAACCATAAACCATAAGTTTTGTACATGACCAAATAAATTTTAAATCATGTATTTACCAATTATTACTTCTTTCGTTATTTTGTCTATCATCATTTCTAGGTTATTTAACTATTTCCAGCAATTCCGTTTGCTTAATCCGCAAGCACATAATATCTACTATTCCCGAAGGCCATCTCACAACTATCCACTTAAGAATGCGGAGCACGATCTTTATCTGCCAACCCCGAGCTCAGAACTAGTCAAGGCACAGCAGACTGTACAAGTGACTGTACAAGTGTACAATGCCAAAAAAAATTACAATCGTCTGCCTTTGAATAGTCGCTTTCATTCTTTCCCGCATTTCGCAAAGCTCTGAAATCATACTTACTGGAGAGAACTCTATATGCGGTAAACGACTTTTTTGTTGATATTTAATCATGAACAATTTTGATTTTAAAATTTTGATCATCTCACACACTGGTCAAAAGTCGAGTATTTAATATTTTATAACTCTTAAAACTATATGCATTTACAATTTTCCTGTTGTAAAATTTTATTGATACGCCTTTTTTGTGTTCTGCAATGTCCATGTATTAAAAATATATATTCTATTTGTAATTTTAATGACTTAAATTTTTTTGAATTGTATGATTTGTATTGTATATTTTTTATTATTTGTATATTTTTTGTGCTTTTGTTTCTTTTGTAAATGCTTTGTAGATGAAGCTATTTTGGCTTTTTGCACAATAAAGCGTTATTTATTATTATTATTTATAATTATGGTGTAGCTTTCCATATATATTTAGATAATGACCTTGTAATATGGGCCAATTGTTGTCTATTGTTGCTATTATAATTAGTGGAATTGTGCTGGATGTAAACCATTATGGTAAGACCCATGATTACCTATAGAGCAGTTGCTTGGCGCACAAAATTAGAGACAAGAGATAGAGGAAAAAGAGAAGACACAGCAAGGCAAAACCTGTGTCTATTTATTAGAATGTCTTTTCTATAGGAAATAGTTTCTGAGGGCTTACGACCAAGAAAAATCAAATATCTTCCTGGATTTAAGTAAGAACAATCTTCGGATTGTCACGGGGTTTTTAACAGGACACTGTCTCTTCAATGAACACCACAGTAGATTGAAACTAAGAAGAAACGGCGAACGCAGATTCTGTGGGGAAAATGGGGAAACACCAGAACACCTCATCAGCAACGGCCTAGCTACGTTAAAACACCGGTTCCCATTAGAACACCGAAGTTAAGCGACGTAAGGCGATACTGGTGGATGGACGGGTGACCGGTTCAAAACTCTGTATCGTGCTGTTGTTCAAGGGAAAAGTGTAAAATCTATTGATACACACTGCTAATTCACGCCGGTTCGAGGCCGGATGAGATCGAATATTTCGTGAGTAAGAGTTGATTTAGACATTTCCTAAGTCGGTAGGCCTTTGACCATGATATGGCCGAGGACCACGGTTCGGATTCCGCGTAAACAAATTAGGCCCCTCCAGATTATCCCTGGCAAAGGAGATCTTAACTGAAATCTTTACTTTACTTTTTAGAACACCTCATCACTGAGTGCGCCGGGACGACAACCATTCGTGCCATGAACTTTTCTACGACTGATATTGAAGATGGAGAACTAAGTAGAGGTAGATGGCCGATTCTGCATCAGTGGAGGGTGGAGGTGATGGAGGTGGAGGAGGAGCAAATCAGCTAAGAACATGTAAAATAGGTTAATAAACAAGAATAAACAGGTTTGATCCGCTCTGAACAACTTTTAAACTGCTTTGAACGGCTTTTTAGCGTAAAACAACAGACCTGTTCAGTTTTTGTTCAAACCCGTTCAAAGCAGTTCAAAAGCTGTTCAGAGCGGATCAAACCTGTTTATTCTTGTTTATTAACCTATTTTACATGTTCTTAGCTGATTTGCTCCTCCTCCACCTCCATCACCTCCACCCTCCACTGATGCAGAATCGGCCATCTACCTCTACTGAACTACCCTCTGTAAAACCGTCCCAGATACTGGATTTTCTCAAAGTCCTGGGGCTGTATGAAGAGTTATAGCTCAAGAAAGGGGGACATAATAGATTTGTAAGGTCGCAGTGATTAACCCCCCTCCCACTCATTCTAAATTCTAAAAAATTGGTGCATTACCTTATTTTTTGTTAAATTCATTTTAAGTTTTACTTTATTGCTGGTTGTCTACAATTTGCATTAAATATTAATAGCTATGCGTTTATTAATTTATATACAGATTGACATAATATTTAAATTAAGGTAAAACATTACGGTATATTTTAATTAATGTAGAGTGGATGTATTGTTCTACTTGAATGCAAATAAAAATAAATATCTTGCATGTAAGACATTCAAGTCTGTACTGTCTTAGTTTTTTTTTATTAGCAAGGGACACAACCAGTATGCACACCAACCATACCCAGTTTTCTATATCTATACAGAAACTCAACATTCAACTTTTATTGTGTTTTCAAAGTTAAAATGTTGAAAATGAATTTAAATAATTAAAATTTAATTAAAATTTTATTATTGTCACTTTTTTTACTTTTTTATTATTTAATTCACAAAGGTATTTATAAAATTTACTGTAATTTTTAATTCCAATACTTTTTATACAATATAGGTAGGTAGTGTATTATAATAGGTACTGTAGTATTGGTTGTTAAAATAAAATTTATTTAAAATATTTAGATGTTAATTATTTATTTATTAAATAAACGGTAAAGGTGTTTCCGGTCATATATATTCTAGTTTTGCAGATGTTGGTTAAGACATTTTCTTCGGCATGGTAAATTTTATAAATATGTAATTCAGCAAAATTTTATTATTTCATTTCTACAAAGTGGTGTGGAAATGACATAAAATTGAGCTGAATTACATATAGATAATTATGATAAAAATACAATTGGAGTTAGAACCTTTAATGTTATAGCAGAAGAATAAAACACTAGTTCGCCCCAATATATCAAAATACTTTACCTTTAACTTTTAACACTGGATGCGCGTTTCGCAAACCATGTTATTAGCATCGTCAGCAGATGATTAAAACTTCATCATCTGTTGATTATGCTAACATGGTTGGCAAAACGCGCGTTCAGTTATAAAAGTAAAACTCTTTGGTGTGTTTTGATAAATTAGTGTTTTATTGTCTTATGTTAAAAAATATGAAAATAATTCTTACCAATCTTCGCAGTGAATCTACCACTACCTTCAATAGGAGCAATTAGTATTTTTCCATCGATTTTATAATCGCCTTCTAATGTTAATCCAGGAAAACTTGCATAACAGAAAAATTGCAAATTTGGCACATCAAAGCTAAAATAATAAAACTAACTGAATAAAATCGGTAGACAAAAATATTAAAAAATATAATACAGATTTTTTTTTCTTAAAATATATATACCTTCAAGATTGCTGCTGGAGTTCAGAATATTCAATTCAAGTATACTGTATCAAAGTATATTATAGTTAAGTAGAATTACGTTTGACTGTATATAAGTCCTGGAACAGTGCATCGAATATTTATTGCTCTTTTAATAAAGAACTTAATTCCGTAGTCTAAACCGTAACATGACAAGCAAAGAAAAAAATATAGGTAACTTAAAATTTACATCAAACAACATACATCAGAGTACTAAGATACTACATACTTGTACTAAGATAAAAAGTAGATAGATCTTTAAGGTCGCAGTGATTAACCCCCCCCCCTCTTACTCAAGATAAAGAGTACAAAAAAGTAATTAATAAAAAAATTTGAAGGTCCAGAGAGCTTTATTTAAGAGAAAAAGGCAATTATTTGAAATTTAACGACAGTATATAATAGTATAGTAGTCGTGTATAAAAATATAAAATTGTGATAAAGCATGCGTTCCTGTATTATACAGTATACAGATACAGGGTGACCCATACTTACAAAAAGCTTAACCAAACTAACCAATCCAAACCAGACCCATACTTACAAAAAACTTCATATTTTTTATACCCAAGCTATACAGGGTGAGTCTTAGATAAGTGCAAATATTTTCAGGGCTGATAGATCTCGATAAAAGAAACATATTTCTTCTTTATCGTTTTTCAGATAAGTCCAAAATAACCGAGTTATTCAAGTTTGAAAATTAAAAAAAAAAATATTTATTTAAAAAAAAATAATTTGAGAGCCACCGGATTTTTGTCTGTATTTGCATCCCTTTTAGTGTTGTAACCATAGAGTAAGGCCGTAACCATGGTAATATCAGAGATATTTTGCGGTGAATAGGGAGTTCTATAAAGTTGCCTAAAACAAACAGAAAAATTAAACAGAAAATGCACGATTTTCAACATATTTTTTTTGAGGAAAAAACTCATAGACGTGTTCCTGGGGTCCACATACCACCCTGAGAAATATTTGCACTTATTTAAGACTCACCCTGTAAACGCAGTACTCTGTGATGGATCCGTACCAGCCATGCTTCATTTGAACGAATCGCATTCTAAGCTGTGAATCGATTCTTATCATTAATTTTTAATGATCTTTCAAATAACGTGTCGTTCAATATTCGCCTCACAATATTACACAGGGTGTTTCAAAAAACATGTGCCATCTCTCGTGGGGAGATTCCTCACGTAAAAAATAAGAATTGTTTTGCATATTAACGTAGGTCCGATTCTGGTTTGTTTCGTATCTACAAGGTTACTTTTAGCGTTTCGAATGAAATTTTGAAGGTAAAAGTTACTATGAATGCGACATATTTTAAAGCTAAAAAAGTGTCGACATATTCACCAGGGACGTACGTATGGGTTTTCACTGGAATATTTTCCTAAAAAAAGCATGTAGGTACGCCACTGACATTTTTTCTCTTGTTAGTGAAATAGTATAAGCAGTTTAAAGGTTGATTCTCACTATAGCTTCCATATCAGCTCCCTTCCGTTTACATAAAATATTATACCATGTAAATGAATAGGACAATGCACACTATCCGTTCCGTTTCCCTTCCGTTCCATATCCTTTCCTTCCACACATTTTTTTAGCGGACGGACTGAAGCATATCGGAAACAGCGTTGTCAAGTTCTTTCACTTGTACCAACTGGGTTAAAATTTTGCTCATATTTATTTATTATTTCGCCTCTTAATTAAATCTATTACGTTTTTCAAAAGATACAAATTTTTAAAATAAAACTTTCGTAATGATATAAATTGTACAATAAAAAGTATAGAACTGATACGGAACGGAAGGTTACGTATAGCGTCAATACAATAAAAATACGGAGCGAATATGGAATGGATATGGATATGGAAACGGAAGGTATAGTGAGAATCAACCTTAATGCCGATTAAAAGTTGTTTCTTGATATTTTGCTGATATCGACCTCCCTGATGAGATAAACGCAATTTTATTAATTTACCTTGATCCAAATCTAACAGCAACCTTTATAAAAAAATAATATTATTAGCTTGCGAAAGTTTTAAATAAGTACTCATTGATTGCTCATCAAAAAATATGAAAAAAGTTCCTATAAACATGGGTATGGAAATGCATAGTTTTAGAGTTACAGGATATTAAAACTTTTTAATTTTTTTTTTGTAATTATCTTAAACACCATTATTTCTTTATTTGAAATTGCTGTAGTTTAATTTTAATCAAATTGTTAATTAGGTAAAATATAAAATTTTTGAATTTTATTTTTATTAATTGTGATTAATAAAATTGCGTTTATATCTCATCAAGGAGGCCGAATTCGACAAATTATCAAGAGATAACTTATAATTGGCAATAAACGGCCTACACAATTTTGATATCAAAAGAAAAAAAGATCAATGGTTAACACCCTGTGTAGTAATGAAACGAAGCAAAATCGGACGCATATGTTTATATGAAATATAACTCTTATTTTTACGTGAGGAATCTCCCCACCAGAGATGGCACATGTTTTTTGAAACACCCCGTATATGATAGCTATACAGTATTGAAATTTGGTATCCGGTTCGAGCTCGGCCAGACAAACAAAAAGAAATCGAGAAATGGAATATTTCAACATATAAACAAAATTTGTCATTCACAAATAATATTGTTTACATCGAAATAAAATCTATGGGTCATAAAATTAAAATACTAATTGGTAATGACCTAATTTCCGTTGCACTTATTTTCTCCCAAACTTGTTTGCAAATTTATGTATGAGATTTTTTTCGTACTTACTCGAATCTTGAAAACTTATATTTCGATAAACCATGAACGGTGACATTGCTGAGGACCGCCTTGAAATTCAAAGACTGGCTTCCTTGTTCCAGCACAACTTGAGGTAAAGTGAACGGCTCGAAGGACGGAATTTTCAGTTCGGGTACACCATTAGCTGCAGTGTTTTTTAAATATTATTCTGTATCTGTTTGTGCGCTGTTAATTTACTGTTTACCTAAATATGGTCTTACTTTCTCTGTAGCATCCAAAAGACACTTGGACAGGTTTGGATCGCTTCTATGGCATTGTGGAAACGATGGAGCTAAAAAAATATGTTAGTGCAGACTCACACTTTTAATACATGTTAAAAAGAACATATTATGTTAATAAAAGAGTACATTAAATTAAAATACTTAAAAATTATAGAGGGTGTCCCAGAAACAAGTGCAAGTATTGTAAGGGGTGGAAGATCTCGATAAAAGAAATATATTTTCTCTTTATCGTGTTTCAATAAGTCCAAAATAACGGACTTATTTTACTTTGAAAATTTCCAAAAAAAAAAAGATTTTTTGGATTTTCTTTCTTGTAAATTTAATCTTTCTTGTAAATGTAATAATAATAAGAAATTATTTATTATAAATAAAACTAAAAAAATTTGCAAAAAAATTTTCAAAAAATTCAGAATTTTTAATTTTTTTTTAGCGAAAAAAATCTCATAAGCGTGTTTCTGGGGTTGAACTATACTACCAGTTAAAATACTTGCACTTATTTCTGGGACACCCTGTATACGTATCTGTTTACAAATTTTGGCACTTTGGTGGCCCGAAAGGAACATACTGAACATAGTAGTACATTTTTAATATATATTTTTTTTTAATTCAGTAATATTTTCTTTAATTTACTACCCCTTTTTATGAAAGAAAAATGAAAGTACAAGGTTGGGGGAATAGGGGAAGTTCGGGTAGCCCCGGACAGCGGGTAACCGTGGACACTCGGATATCTAAGAGACGAACCACGTTATTTACGTGAAATTAATATTTAAATGCACACCCTCTAGCGTAAAATCAAATCTAGTTCAATTACACTGTGGACGTCGCGTGAGTTACACGCAATTGGAAGTTGTATCAATAGCATAATATTTTTTACGCTCCTGTCAAACTTTGTTGCATATATTGCGAAGTAGAGTAAGTAAATATGTGTACCTACTTCTTTATTATCCAAAGTTGTGGAAAATTAATTATATTTTATGTTTGTAATAGTATTTATAATAGTTCTTGTGTGTATAATTCAAGAGTTGTGTCGAATAACATTTCACCACTGCGATCGGATATCCCTAGCCACGTTAATGTCGGGTACCCCCGGTCTACAGAGATACTCGAGTTTTAGCTTTAAATTTTGCAATATTGTTCAAGAAAAATAAAACTGTTTTGTTACGATGATAGGAGCTCTGCCCGAACGTATTGCTCTTCCACATGAGAGCGGACGGATGAATGGAAACGTCTCCTTCGAATGGTTACAACATTTTAAACAGCATGTTCAGCCAACAGAAATAAATCCTGTTTTCTTAATTCTAGATGGACATGCTAGCCATAAAGATCTTTTAGTAATAGGATACGTACCTACGTAAAAAATAATATTCATATTCTAAGCATCAGACTACCCCACACAACCCATAAATTACAACTATTAGACAGAACATTTTTAAACCTTTCAAAGCTGTATTAATTTACTGCTGCAAGTTCAGCATGGATGAAACGAAATCCTGCCGCAAAGATTACGAATTACGATGTTGCTGCACTTTTAAGTAAAGCTTTTTACAGGGCAGCTAGACATGACAAAGGGCAAAATGTTTTTAGATGTACGGGTATTTACCCTTTAAATCCTAAAATTTTTACCGACATTGATTTTTTACTTTCATTAATGACAGACAGTTCACAAGAAACGCTGCTAAAGAAAATATTTTCCCCTAGACTGATTTAGACAACAGTGAAATGTTTTTTTTATTTCTAAGGGTAAATTATTTTATGTTTTAATACAGTTGTAAATAGCTCCATTTTCAGTTTTTTTTTAAATTTATGTACAGGGTAATTATAATTTTTATTTCTAGCTGGGTAGGTACGGATATTGTAGGAGGTGGCAATATTGCATTCCCTCAAAATACTATAAACCAATTTCCGGACACCGAACAAGCGGCACTCAAATTTTTTTTTAACATTTTCCGGAAAATGTCAAGAAAAATATAACATTTTCAACATTTTTTTGCAAAAAAATCTCATGGGCATGTTTCTGGGGTCAAACTATACTAAGTAAATACTTGCACTTATTTCTGGGACACCCTGTATAAATTAATAATTTTAATCTAAGGTGTCAACGATCAGTTCGTTTTACCTCTACCCTCCATAATTTTGAGTTAAATGCTATATTTTTAAATTTTAATACGTATGCTATCAATTTACATGTCAATTATGTTGCAGGTTTTAATAAACTTCATTGCTAAAGGATACTTACACGGAATAGTTTTATCTTTATAGTAGATAATTATATAATTAATTCTAAGGAAAAAAGTAATAATGTCTGTGTTGTTATTTATAAAATATTCAGTGCAAATACCTAAGTACTAATCTGATATCTATTAATTTGTATAGGTTGGAAGAATATAATTTTACATAATTATAAATTATGGTATAAATTATAAACTACGCAGAAATACTAATAAAATTGTTAAAAACATAATCAGAAAGTATTATAATATTATAATCAGTCTGACCTTTTTAAATAAGTAATAACTATTGGAAAAAAAACATTAAAAAACTAGTTTTTCATCAAAAATGTGAGATATTTTTTTTAATAAAAAACTTACATTATAAGAATGAATAATTCATTTTGCAAAAAAATGCGGTTCTAACAATGCTTGTAAAGTATGTCCGTGTCCTATTCATGACTAAAACCAGTTTTGCCATCTACTGAAAATGCACACATGCTTAGAATAATGCCCGCTGAGTGTTTAAAATATAGTGTCGTTATTGGTTTGGTGCATTCTCCGCCGGTGCTGCCACCATCGGAGAATATCGTAAACAACTAGTATACAAGGTCTGGCAATAATGCGTCGGGCATCTGTAGTTCATAGAATAAAAAACTTGGAAATTTTGTGTAAGTTTCTATAGGGTGGCTCAAAAAAGTGTGAGGGACCGGGATGTTTTTTAAATGGAACACCTTGTATATTATTGCATTTTTGGCTTCCTTTCAGATCACTTTACATCATCCTAAGATATGAGTAAATGTATTTCGATAGTTTCAGAGATATTAATAAATAAATAAAAAATTAATATTTTTCAGCCTTTCTTAAAAAAATTAGAGTTTAATTAGAGAACAAAAACTGTTCTGTAATGAAAACTATATTAAGGATTTACTTTAGATCGTCTGTTCTTACTTTGCTATAAGTATGGTAATCGTAAATCATACAGGATGTTCAAAATTCTATGCCAAACTTTCTAAAATATAAAATAATTTATAATCGTTTTTTTAAAGGGACACCCTGTCTATTATTGTTTCAATAGATGGAGAATTGAAAAATGAACATTTTTTGGATTTATAGTAATTCAAAATTTTTAACGGTTTTGCAGATATTCGCGATTTTGTATTTCATATTATTACATTTTCCACAGTAAATTTTTATTTATCAAAGCCATCCAATTATTTTTCTCTCCTATTTTACCGTTGAAAGTGCCATATGAAATAATACTGTGTGTATCTACGAAATTTTTAAAAATGTAGAAATACTTTATATACAAAAAATGTTCATTTGTTAATTCTCCATGAAATAAAAAAATAATATACAGCGTGTTCCATTAAAAAAAACGAAGAAAAATTATTTTATATTTTAGAAAGTTTGGTATAGAATTTTCAACACTCTGTATGGTTTAAGATTACGATATTTATAGCAAATACCCAATATAGTTTTGATTTTAGGACAGATCTTGTATTTGTAATAGTTTTTAAGGAAGGTTGAAAAATATATTTTTTTTATTTATTTATTAATATCCCTGAAAGTATCGAAATATATTTACTCATATCTAAGATTATATAAAGTTGTCTGAAAGGAAGCTAAAAATGCAATAATGTACAGGGTGTCCCAATTAAAAAGACCAACCCGATCTACTCACACTTTTTGAGCACCCTCTAGAAGTTAAAATATGTTCCTGAAATACACGGTATAACGTACTTTAGGTTTGCACTTTATCAAAATTTTCAATTTTTTTTTATTCTATGAGCTACAAATGCCCGATGCAGTATTTCCAAACCCTATATAATTGAAAGAAAGATTGGTGTGCTACTAATTTTTTATTAAAGTTTGTATTATCAAAATGTTTGTACAATATGTCTGTAGATACCTATTCATAATAGCTAAGACTTATAATAGTTTCAATATAATAATTAGTAACTGTCAGGAAACTGTAATAACTATAAGTGAAATTACAAATTGCAAATATGTTTACTTTATTTAAATTTGCAACTATTTCCAAACCACACCAAACAAAATCATTTTCGTTAAAATCTGATATATCTATGAATGGTTAAAGAAAGAAAAAAATTCATTTCAAAAATAATTAAATTAATTAATGAAACATCATTGAAAATAATCATTGAAGTATTGAAGTATAATCACACATACCATTTTTTTCTTTGATTTATGGGGCTTCTTGCATTTAATCGATATATACGGAAATATTTCAATAATAATTATAATAAAAAAAAACAGAAAGGACACTTACGTAGCCTATGCTTTTTTCTAGCACAAGTTCCATACGATGTCAAACTACATAGAACAAACAAAATAAACAGTATACTAATGTTTACCATTTTTAAACTTCGTTTTCGTCCGACTACCTTTTTTTAAATAACTGATGTTAATTTAAACAAATTAAACCAATATAACAACATTTTATATGGTTCTGTATGCATCATTCATGCAGTATCCGTGTACAAGGTTGATTGCTTTATTTTATACCTTACACCTTTATGTAAACAAGTTATTTATTTAGAAGACACCGACCGGTTGATAACTTTCTATTTTTCAGTTTTTTCCTGATATTTTTTATAAAAGCTTATGGAATCAAGTGTTATTACTATAGAGATTAGCGAAACTGTGATTTTCCAATCGCAATTGAAACTGCGATTACGGTTTTTAAATCGCTGCGACTGATGTAATTTGTGATTTGCGATTGTGATTTTAATATTTAAATATTGTACTAGGGATATAAGTATCTGTGCATGTACCTATAGCTTAATGGTTAATAAAAATCAGTTGTTTAATTCTTATTTTTTTTACCATCTGACAATTTGACTCGAAATACCAAATGTGTAGTACCAAATTATTCATAAATAAATTATTTTTCTAAATATGCTAATGAGCCAGTTTCGTTCCATTTGAAAACATTGAGATATGATTAAAAATACGATTTGGGCATCTTTTAATACAGTGGCGTATCCAGGGGGGGGGCAAAGGGGGCAATTGCCCCCTCCAGACACGACACACGCCGCGCCGGTCCAATTTATATTTTTCCATTACATATTCACAAAAACTACAATGTAATTTACCATTATAGGTAGATTTTTATTTTTATTTTTTTTATATTGTTGTATAGGCGTATAATTATAATAGGGAATACTCTTACATCTCCCTATTCATCTTATTCTTAATGTGTTTACCGTTTTTTGTACCTACCTAAGATTTTTTACTTTACTTTAACTTTACCAATTTTCAACCCTAAAATTGTTAAAATCCTACCTACGTAACACCGTAAGTGAGGACAGAATAAATGGCTTGTCCCTTTTGTATATGTATCCAGAAATATCTGGTAGTACAGAAGAGGTACTTAATGAAATGCAGGCCAAAAGCCAGAAAGCTGGATATTGTTATTTAATTTTATTTGTATCTGCGTTTTTTCTTTATTCACTTGGCGTTTTGTTTGTTTCTTCTTTTTTGTTATTTGTTTCTTTAATTTTTGGTTAATTCTTTGTGTTAATGATTATTTTATGCTCTTTTGTGATGTAATGTTACTTATTAAACCATTTTCCTAAAAAATATATTTTGTATTTATTTATACCTATTATTTACCATAGTACCTAGCTGTAATTAGGTAGGTACTTACTTGTTAATACAAAAAAACATATATTGATATGACGGGAGATGCACTAATATCTCACCGACTCTTTACGACATCGCCTGTTGATATTGAAAAAGTTTTACTTATCGTATCGGTGAGAACCAGCCACTGGACAGCCCACCTGATGAAGGGTAGGCCCAGAAACCGGCTGTGGGAGTGGAGCTAACCAAGCTCTTAAGCTCTTTAGCTTAACCAATCTCTCCCCCCACAAGCAAAACAATTTTTTTTTTACTTTTTATTTTTTTTCTATACTTTCGATTTTTCGAAATTAGAAAAAATACACAGCTAAAGGCAAAAAAATATTATTTATTAATATACATTAAAGCTGTAAGAATTTTGTTCATTTCACTTCAAAACATATATTTAGGTATAATATTGAGTTATTGACCCCCCCAGGCATGAATCCTGGATACGCCACTGTTTTAATAGACCAGGACAACACACGAAAAACAATAGACAATTACTTTTTTTCCGAGGATCCTTGATTAAAAATTAGGTAGTGTTTTTAACACAGCCATGGCACTCTAGATTGACATTTAAAATAAGATTTCTTAAGCGTAAATGTTAAAAGTTGACATATGATATGCCATTCTATTCAGAGTGTCATTTTTATCGAATAAAGTAAAAAAAAGTGCCAGAAGAAATTAAAAATCAAAAGTTGTCATTTACGGTGAAACAGGTAGTGATTAAAACGAATTGAATACGTCAATCAATCCTAATTTATGTCATACGCTAACATACCAAATCCAAATCTCATTTTTTATCAGAAAAAAATAATAAAAAGTTATAGGGGCGAACCACCTTTGAGAAACACCCGGTAAATTATAATTTTGACCCTAGAAAATAACACCTTCTCTATAAATATATAAAATCAGAAAAAAATCAATTGCAGTTTACTATAAAATGCTTCAATGGGGCACAAAATTACATTCGCAACAAAATCGTAAATCGCAACTCCTAAAAATTCAAACTCGCAGATAGAAGATTATCGCAGTCCTAGTTTACAAAGTCACAATAGGAGCAAAATCGCAACCAAATCGCAATTCGCAATTATAGTAATATTGGTTGCCTAAATTAAAACTCACAAATAGAAGAAATCGCAGTCGCAGTTTCCTATAAGAGGCAATTGCAGGTTGCGATTTTAAAATCGCTGGGCTTGAATCGCAGTTTGCGATTGCTCATTTCTAGTTATTACTAATGTAAATCATAATTGGTTATACCGGGTGCGTCTCAAAAGTGGCTCACCCTTTTATAACTTTGTTACTTTTTCAGATACAAAAACGAGATTTGGCATGTTAGAATATGACATAAATTAGGGTTGATTGAGTATAATTGTTTGGTCTGGTGAGTATAATTGTTTTTGGTTTGGTTGGCGGAAATAACTACAACATTTTATTTTATTTATGACACCCCCGGTATTTTTTTACTTTATTCGACAACTTATGACACTCTAAATAGAATGACATATCCGAGGATATATCATATGTCAACTTTTGACATTTTCGTATATTATACTACAACTTTTGATTTTTAAATGGCACCCTCGATATTTTTCTACTATATTCGATAGAAAATGACACCCTGAATCGAATGACATATCATATGTCAACTTTTGACATATTCGCTCAAAAAAAAATTGTATTTTAAATTTCAATCTAGAGTGCCATGGCTGTGTTAAAAACACAAATTTGCTGCAATTTTTAATCAAGGAGCCTTGGAAAATAGATTTGTTCGTCTTATGTTTTTAGTGTCTTGTCCTGGCCGGTTAAAAGATGCCCAAATCGTATTTTTGATCATATTTCATTTCAAATGGAATGAGGGTGGCTCATTAGCATATTTGGAAAAAGCATTTTTGTACGAATAGTTTGATACCACGGTATTTCGAGTCAAATTGTCGTTATGAACCGCATGTTACAATTTCAAATAAACCATATGCGAAAAGTTTAAAGCTACTTAAAATTGAAAATTTGAAGTTGGTCTCTCCAAATTGTGGAGAAATAAATTTGACAAACGATAAAATTCATCAAGTATGAGGTACCTATATTTACTAGATATTTTGGTAATCTAGCCAGCTATAGTATGTCTTCATGTTTGGTGAAAATTAATATTCTTGCTTTATCCACAACGAAGTTACAGGGTGGTCAAAAGTGCCGCTAATACTTTCGAGAAAAGGATGTGCTCGACTGTTCGACTTGACAGATGAGACAGTTAGATGCAAGACCGGATAATATCTGTCATAACTAAAACTAAAAAAAAAATGCAAAAATACTGTATTATAAGTATATCTACCGGGTGCGTCTCAAAAGTGGCTCACCCCTATAACTTTTTTATTTTTTCAGTTAAAAAAACGAGATTTGGTATGTTAGTAAATGACATAAATTAGTATTGATTGACGTATTCAATTGTTTTCGGTCACTTCCTGTTTCACCGGAAATGATTACAACTTTTCATTTTTAAATGGCACCGTCGGTATTTTTTACTTTATTCAATAGAAAATAACATTCTGAATAGAATGACATATCATATGTCAACTTTTGACATTTCACATATGGTTTATTTGAAATTATAACTTGCGGTTCGTAACGAAAAATTGACTCGAAATAACAAGTGTTTGGTATCAAATTATTCGTAAAAAAATGCTTTTTCCAAATACGCTAATGAGCCACCCTCGTTCCATTTGAAAAAATTGAGATATGATTAAAAATACGATTTGTGCATTTTTTAACTGGTCAGGACAAGACACTAAAAACATTAGACGATCAAATCTATTTTTCCAAGGCTCCTTGATTAAGAATTAGTGTTTTTAACATAGCCATGGCACTATAGATTGAATTTTAAAATACGATTTTTTATTAAGCAAGAATGTCAAAAGTTGACATAATATGATATGTCATTCTATTCAGAATGTCATTTTCTCTCGAATAAAGTAAAAAAATACCGAGGGTGCCATTTAAAAATCAAAAGTTGTAGTCATTTCCGGTGAAACAGGAAGTGATTAAAAACAATTGAATACGTCTATCAATCCTAATTTATGTCATATACTAACCTACCAAATCTCGTTAGTGTATCTGAAAAAATAAAAAAGTTATAGGGGGTGATCCACTTTTGAGACGCACCCGGTATATTTACATGTCTTATGTGATTGGATATAATTTGCTTTCTGAACATCAGAGAATTATTAATCAAAGCTTAGGTTGGTAATGCATTTTATATAATGCCTTAAAAGTAAAAATTTTGTCTAATATTTTGTTCAGATATAATAAAGTATAACGGTCATAGTATGATTCCATTAGAATTTACAGAATATAATTCACTCTATATAAAAGATGCACAACTAGTCCTGACCTTCTAAGTTGGTCAGGATCAAGAGGTTTACTTATTTTGCCTTATTTCTGCGCAAGTATTAATTAGCTGGGCTCTGATTGATATTATAAGCGGCACCGGCAAATGCAGTTTAGTGATAGCCCTAGTGATCTCTTCATCATATACTCATCACAATGAGTCTCAATATACTCCTGAGTATTTTATTTCTTGATCTGGTATGGTGTAAAGTACAATTAATTCATGAATTGCGTAAGTAATAATTTTCAAAATGCTTCTCTGAAATGTTTATAATTTTTTTGGGATTTATTTTTTAGCGTCGTATTTTCCACAATGCTACAGAAATGATCCAGATCTGAACCAGTGTCTTTTGAAAGCTACCGAATCAGTTCGACCATACATGAGTGAGTAACTTTTTTTCTTAATTAAATATCGGAATATCGAGTTAAAATATTTTGAGCCGGTTAACATTTAACAGTTTGCTATATTGTTTAATAATAAATATGTATTTTTTTGCAATTATAAGAAAATTCCTATTTAGAATTCCTGGTATACTTTTTAAACTTATTTTTTTATGAGAAAATTGAGAATAATTGAGGAAAATTGGTATTTTTTATAACAGATTGAATGTAATAAGCGTCCATGATCGATGTTATTGTATATGGAAACGGTCGATTATTAGGTAAAATATAGGAGGTACTGCAAAAAGTTAAATACAAAAGTTATAGGATTTTTAAATATCTATTAGCGAGTAATAAATTTAAGTATACAGGGTCGGTCATAAAGTCGTAACACATAAAAGTTTCATTTTTTTAAATAGAATAGGGTAATTTATTTTAGAAATAGAAATAGAACCCCTGTATATTACTGCATATTTCAATTCTTCTTTCAATTCTAAGCAAAAATCGAAATACACATAATGTACCTCAAGCCTAAAACCAACCGCATTACAACAGTATCACAGTTTCAGCAAAATGTCGTCATTAACTGAAACTGAACATATATAGAAATTAATTAAATCAAATTGTTTAAGTAATATGTTCACAAAAGTCAGTAACTCGGAAATAGTTGATTTGAGGTACATTGTGTGTATTTCGATTTTTGCTTAGAATTCAAGGAAGAATTAAAATATGCAATAACATACAGGGGGTTCTATTTAAAACAATGAAACTTTGATGTGCCACGACTGTATGACCGACCCTGTGTACAGGGTGTCCCATTTTAGTTGAAATGATACGGTGTCTCCGTTATTCGTGAAGATAGAAGGGTGCGGTTTGCACAAACCTTTGTCAATATTTTGTCAAACGGAAGATACCGCAAACAAAATTTTTATAGCCCTCTTCATTTCTGAGCTACAGGGTCTTTTTGAAAAGTTTGCAATTTGGGACACCCCTTGTATCTCTGTTATTGTTAAAGGTATCGAGACGACGAAAACTGTTTATTGTAGAACTTTTTACGTAGAATGCAGCGGCTTAGTCTGTTATTCTATGAAAAGAATATTTTTTTAAGATATGAACTAAAGTTATGTTTTCTTAAATGGAACACCCTGTATATTTATAAATTATATGATCTGGCTTGTCATAAGCTTCTCAAAACTATATATCACTCTATATTTATTTTCACTATTTACTGCAATATTAAAAAATATATATTAAAAAATCACATTTATTAGTAGGCCATGATTGATAATAATAAAAAAACTAAAGAGTTATTAAAAGTATACTGCTATCTGTCTCTTCTTTTATTTTGAGAGCCACTAATAAATTCTTTACATATTAGGAAATCTTAACTCACTACCGTTATTTGTAAATCTTGGAAGCTATCGTATCGGAACTTTTAAATATTCCTTTAGCTAATTTACGTAAAATATACTTTCAACAAGATGGGGCTCCCCCTCATAACTTAACTTACAACGAAAATATTAGACTTTTGTTAAATTATTTCTCAAATCAATGAATTGGAACTAATGGACCCATATGATAGCCTCCCTGATTCCCGGATTTCTGATTTTCCGGATTTTTGAAATATCAAATATATCCTGGCAACTAATACAATGTCGAAGATATTTGCAAACCCATTCCGTTATAAAAAAAAGAAAAAAATATTCAGAGGTTCAGTGGTAACAGTTCAAAAGTAAAATATATCAATTCCAAATAAAATTTTAATATTTAGACTATTTTAATAAATACCATTTTGATTTTTTTGTTATTTATCACGGCCTACTAATAAGAAAATAATTATTTTAAATATTGGAGTAAAGAGTGAAAATAAATATAGAGTGATATATATTTTTGAGAAGCTCATAGCAAAGCGGATCATATGATTTATAAATATACAGGGTGTTCCATTTGAAAAAACATAACTTTAGTTCATATTTTCAAAAATATTTTTTTCGTAGAAAAACAGACTACGCCACTGTATCCCGCGTAAAATGTTCTACAAGAATCAGTTTTCACCTTCTCGATATCATCCATAATAACAGAGATACGGGGGATTGTAAAATTTTCGAAAATACTCTGTAACTCAGAAACGAAGTAGTTAAAATGACAAAAGTTAATATCTTAGTTTGAAAAAAAATCCTTTTGATCTGAAGCAAGCGACTTTTTTTGCGGAATATATTGGTGAGCGATGTGGAAAAATGACACACGCTGTAGAATTGTTAATGTTATCGGTATCAGGCAGAGTTATAAAGATTTAGCCATTTAGGATAGGACTTTAATTGGAAATAAGTCCTAGTCATTTAGAAATCCGATTTAAATATTGTTTTGAATTAAAATCAAAAAAATCTGATTTTAATATAAAAAATCTGATTTAAATCAAATAAATCTGATTTTTTTTTATTTTTTTTTTTTAAATCATGATTTTTTCCAACCCTGGTAGTAAGTATCTATTACCCGCTAAAGCTTGAAGATACACCAATTTTTACACTTTGTACATTATAATATATACAATGTTAACAAAAAAAATTAAATACCGGGTGTTTCTCAAAAGTAGCTCACTCCTATAACTTTTTTATTTTTTCAGATAAAAACGATGAGGATTTATAGACGTATTCAACTGTTTTCGCTTCCTGTTTCACCGGAAATGACTACAACTTTTGATTTTTAAATGACACCCTCGACATTTTCTTACTTCATTTGATAGAAAATGACATTCTGTATAGAATAATATATTACATGACAACTTTTTGACATTTTCAATTAAAAAACAATAGCGTTTAGATTTCAATTCATTAGTCAAAAAATAGGTAAAATGAATTAATGGCGCTATCCGACAGTAATTTGTTAGTCATAACGTTCCTACCAAACGAATTCGGGAAAAGTGCTATAAGTCAGCCCGTGCATAAGATCAAAAATACCGTAATTCCGCAAGAATCCCACAAGTCACAAGTCTTAACGGCAAAAATTCCACTAGTCCGCTACTTGTTGTGGTTTGGTTGTTTGTCGTTCGTAATTGTTCGAACAGTTGCTAAGAGGACTTTTTCCACGGTTTTTGCCAAAATTCCAGCAAAAACCCCACAAGTCAAACAAATTCACGCCCTTCCTAACTTAAAAATAAGAAAAAAAATGAAGAAAACTAGTTTTCTGTAATTTCAGATTATAACCAGAGCTCACACAGAAAAAACGACAATTTAAATTTAAATAGGAGCAAGATATACGTTTTTTTTTGGTTTTTTCCAAATTTCGAAATATCTGACTAATGGGTTTTTTGCCAGAAACCTCTCAATTTAGAGTGCAATGGCCATAAATGTAACGACAATTTGATTCGAAATACCAAGTACCCACTTATTCGTAAAAAATGCTTTTTGCAAATATGCTGGGGGTCATAAGCTGTCAAATTCATCTGTCAAAAATTTCAGCTCAATTACTGGAAATGTATTCAAGGTCGTTACGCCGTTACGCCGATACGCCGTTTTTAGGATAGTGTGGATGTAGGTACCCTAAGTAATGGATTTGTAAATAAACGTAATATTCATTATTATGCGACAGAAATCCCATACTGTAGCACACAGATTTGATACGTTTAATGATAAATGCCCTCTATTGAGAGACTAAAAGGATTAAAATAAATATTGATTTTAGGTATAGGAAAAGTTATTAATAATACAAGATTAAACAACTATTACAAAGTACTTCACAGGAAGCTATCGATTGCTAACTAAACTAAATCGTTACTAATTACTAATTTTGAAAAGTTCTTTTTAAGATCAAAAAAGGTAAAACTAAAAGCTAAACTATCATTTGAGATTAAACGGGAAATTCTAAATAATGTTGCCTATTCTAAACAAGAAAAATTTATTTATAAGTTTTATAACATCTCTAATTAAATTTGGACGAAAAGAATATTTCTGTTTGCTGTAGGTTATTTTCTCAGAGATTAAACGGGAAGTTCTAAGTTATCTTCTTCTCTAAGGGAAAATACGTAAATAAAAATGACTTTTTAAGTCAAAAAAAGTCAAAAGGACAAGTTATTCCAAAAAAGGACTGTCCTTTTCAAAAAAGGACAGGTGGCAACCCTAGGTATTTCTGGAATGGAAATTTAATGGCAAATCTACAACTTTAGTTTGAAAATATGTTCCGGCCACCTATGATTACAAAAATGTCTAAAACGTGCTTTACCATTGCCTCCATATTCAAAAAAAAAATAGAAAGAAAAGTCACTAACCACAAACCTAATATAGAACTGTTTCGGAAGCCTGAGTCACCCCCCAGCTTGGGGACAGTCCTCCATATGCTGGGGGACATAATGAGTCATCCTCGTTCCATTTGAAAACATTGAGCTATTATGATTAAAAATACGTTTTGGCATCTTTTAACCAGCCAGGAGAAGCCACAAAAAACATTATAAGATCGAATCTACTTATTCTTCCAAGGCTCCTTGATGAAAAAAATAGTGCTTTAAACACATCCATGGAGTTTAACACATACTCTAGATTAAAGTTTAAAACTCATTTTTTTAAGCTAAAATGTAAAAAATTGACGTATGATATTATGTCCTATTCAGAGTATCATTTTCTATTGAATAAATTAAAAAAATACCGAGGAAGCTGTTTTAGTGCAGTGAAAAAAAAGTGACCGAAAACAATTGAATATTGAATACGTCAATCAATCCCTGATTTATGTCATATAGGTACTAACATTCGAAATGTGGATTATTTATCTGAAAAAATAAAAAAGTTATAGAGGTGAGCCACTTTTGAGAAACAACGTATACAGGATGCTACAAATTCGAGGTACGAGCAATGGTATCTCGGAAACCGTAGTAGATACGAAAATAGGTAAATTGGGACAAAGTTGCGCGTTGAGATGTTCACCAAGAAGCCATCAAAAAGTTTTAAAAATTTCAAGGATTGCTCAGTTTTTTTAGAAAAAAAAAACGATTTTTTGGAAAATCAATTTTATTT